TTATATCAAGAAGAATTGTACAATCATTACCACATCAATTTTAGAACATCTCCCCACACACATGGTTAAATCACCTTTACAATGAGCTGTAGAACGGCAATCCGTTCTAGTGCACCTTCCTCCCCTCCTGCCTTCGTTATTCACTCCCTAAATCTCCTTCCTCTCCCTATCACCCACCCCTACCTCTACATCCCCTATAAACCCTTGTATCAGTTATTATCACTATGTATCCACTCCTCCTGTGCTTCACAAACTGGGAAACTAAACAGAAACAACAAAAAACAAAATCAAAATAAGATGGTAAGGATAAGATAATAACATAAAGACAAAAATTCAAATAATGAGTAAGAAAGAGAAGACCCTTAATCAGCCTTCAAGAAGCCAGGGAAGACATTTCTGTCATGGAATAAGTAAGAGATACTTGTACCCAGAACAAATTCAGGTAGGGTCTATAGGGAAGTCAACTGGCCAGATATCCAGTTTGATCCAGCATAATCAAGAGTAAAATGGTCTCTGTCGGATATTAAGACTGTTTGCGACTCTTGCCTGTGGCTCAAGGGGATCTGCCAGTGGCTCCGTCTGACTAGGTACTCTGCAGGTGGGATTTGGGCTCCCACTGTCTTCCATAGCCTTCTACAAATTGGGTGCTCATAATTTTAGCTCTCATAGTTTCCCCTTCGCCATACTCAAATTTTACAATTGTCATCTTTGGATCACACAAGTTGGTGCACTTCTTCTGTGTGGACTTAGTTGACTCCTTGCTTAGATGGCCGCTTGTTTGAATACCAAGCCTTTAAGACCACAGACACTGTGGGAAACAGAACTGGGAAGAGAGTGTATGCAGACAAACGCTCAACATTAAGGAGTCTGGAAAGCCAAGGCTCCCGTGGGGGGAGACCTTCACAATCATAAGTGGGAGATGTGTTCAAGCCACATTCTCCTCTAAGTAAAAGTCATCCCCCTCAAGGTCCCCCATGATAATGCCAAAGTTAAGGTGCTGATTGCAAATGCATGGTCCCTTACTCTCAAAGATCAACTCCTTGAAGGCTATCTGCCTAAAGGTTATCTGCCATCAAAAGTAGTCAGATCATCTAAGTACAGCCTTCTGATAAGGATCATTGATCATTCCCCTGGAGAAGAGTTCAAAGACACCTAAGGTCAAGCCAACTCAGGGATGACCAAGGTTAGGCTGCCATCTTGACTCGAGCCTGACTGTCTTGTTTATGTATGTACCTTCCTGTCACAGGTATGCCTCTAGTGCGCCCCCCACTCTATTGCATGTGTACCCCTAGCTCATCCTCCTGTTATGTGTATGCCTCTAATACAACCCCTTCCTATTACGTTTATGTGCTTACCATGGCTTGCATGCCTGAAAATATATAAGCTCCTGAGAATAAATTACTCTGTCTCTGCATGAGCCCTTGCATGCCTTGTTTCATGTCTCTTCAATTTACCCCTCAATTATACAACTGTCCCCTTGGACCCATTCAGTTGTAGAGACTGGTCTCCCACAAGACACTATTTCAATTGCTAGCTGGGTACCATCTACTTTCTTCACCACACTTTGCTGTAGCACCCTTACCTTCAGTGGTCATTTCATGAAGGTGAGTATCAAGCAGGGCCATGTTATCAGAATCAATTGT